GGCATTACAACATGCAAACCAACCCCAAGAAGTACCGAGAAATAATATTCCAAACCAAATAATTGAACATCCAGACGGAAATATTGAAATAAAGTTCCAACAATCTAGCGTAAAGGATGATATAGATCTTAATAGAAAAAGAAATAAAAAACCATTAATACCTACTAGAAAATCCTGTCATATTACTCCTGATGTCATCATACTCCCTTCTTCTTCTTCCCAAACGACACCATCTTCAGACTTTCAACTACAAGGAGTAAGAAAAACGGCTGATCATGTAGTTCTTCCTACATATATTATTGAACCAAATATAGAAGAATTCCAAATCCTTACATTACAAATAGAAGATGAAATAGAGGAAGAAATAAATACTAGTAACACATATAATGATGAATATATCGCAGCATATTTAGCTGCTAAAATAGAGAGAAAAAAGAAGAAAATTAATATTGATTATCTGAAAAAAGATTATCTGTCTATAGAAAATCAAAATATTAGAAAATGGTATCTTCAAACCTTTCAACCAAGATTAATAGAATTAATGCATAAAAAATATAACAAATTTCTCAAAAAAGAAAGAGAAACAAAATGATTTTTTATATGGCTAAAAGAAATATGTATTCAATATAAAATAAATATTCCTTCATTTGATAATCTTCAAACACTAGAAGAAAAAACATATATAAGCACAGATGGTACTACTACTGCTAGTACACACCCTCCTGAAAAAAGTATAATACTCAAAGGAGTAACTCCATCAAGTAAAGGAGAACCACCACAGTCATTATATGATATCATTGCTACACTATATGAAGTTTTACCCAAAGAATTAGGGAAAAAACAAGAACTAATTCCTCATATTGTGGAACAAAACAATTATACTAATTTATATATGCAGTCTTTAGGGAAACAAGCAGAAAGAATAGAACGACTAGTCTCAAAGGAGGTAACTCCATCCCTTCCTAAAGCAGTCATATTCAAACCACCACCAGAATTGAATAAAAATAAATTCCATATTGGTGAAAATAATAAAACTTTAATGGATCAGTTGATAGCCAAATTAGCCCAATTAGACATAAAAGGAATTCCTTCTCCCAAACTCAGTATGCCCATGCCAACTATTCCTAGTCCATTACCAGAATCTTCAGATAAAGGAAAATCCAAAATACCAGAGCATGAAACAATGATGCTCCAGAAAGAAATAGAACCAATCATAGAGGATACTATCCAAAACCAAGAAAATGCTTTTATGGATACCACACCTATTGATCTAAACAGAATAGCTTATGATAAAACTTGGAAACCAATTACAGCTTTACCATATTATAAAAGACCTACACCTGTTGGTGTTCAACTTGAAGAAGATGCTATACAACAAGTTGTGTCCTATTCAGGAAGATCAATAGTAAATTAGACAATAGATGGTTTATCTGAATTAAAAATATTAGATGTCATGAGACACATGACAATGTTTGCTTCTGCAAAGTAAATGGCAGGCAATCCGGATCAAGAGGTTGCTAAAGCAAAAAGTTTTTGAGTCTCAGAAATAATGCATCTTGTAACACATTATCTAGGTCGTTCATTTTCAATATTTTCATATGTTTATAGATCTCTTTGATTTTAACTATTTTTAAAGTTTAAAATTTTCTAATTAGATATGAAAATAGATCTTAAGATAATCCTTAGAAATGTTTACATCAAAAGTACATGATATAATAAATTTAGAGGTGCACCTTAATTGGTCGTTCATTTTCAAGATTATCTAGGTCGTTCATTTTCAAGATTATCTAGGTCGTTCATTTTCAAGATTTTCATATGTTTATAAATCTCCTTGATTTTAGCTATTTTTAAAGTTTAAGATTTTCTAATTAGATATGAAAATAGATCTTAAGATAATCCTCATAATTGTTTACATCAAAAGTACATGTTATAATAAATTTAGAGGTGCACCTTAATTGGATTGTTTAAGGTTGCAACCTTATAGAAACCGCACCCTTTAAAAAATCGTCTTTTAATTGGAACCAGTGTTTTAAAATACTGTCCGGTTCGACTGGGAAACACGCTGGCCCGTGCCGGTTCCACCCAAAAACTGGGAACCGCCCGGGTTCTAGAGTGGAACAGCTGGTTCCCATCCGGTTCAGCCCGGTTCTAGAGTGGAACCGTCGGTTCCCATCCGGTTCAGCCCGATTTTAGAGTGGAACTGCCTGTTCCCATCCGGTTCAGCCCGGTTTTAGAGTGGAACTGCCGGTTTCCATCCGGTTCAGCCCGGTTCTAGAGTGGAACCGTCGATTCCCATCCGATTCAGCCCGGTTCACACACGTAACGTGTGACACGCACGTGCGAGTGTGGTTCTAGAGTGGAACAGCCGGTTCCCATCCGGTTCAGCCCGGTTTTAGAGTGGAACTGCCTGTTCCCATCTGGTTCAGCCCGGTTTTAGAGTGGAACTGCCGGTTCCCATT